AAGGTTTAAGAAACCCAAGAGCTTGGATAAGGCTGAATGATAAAGTTCATTTTCTGCACAAGACCACTCCATCAACACTGGGAGGGGTGGCTGTTTTATCTAATGCACAGAAACCAACACAGGGAGTGAAGGAAAATGAAGAAACAGAGGACTATGTTCCAAACAAAAGAACAAGAAAAAACGCAAGAAACAGACCTTAATGAAAGAAACATAAGTGATTTACTAGGTAGGGAGTTCAAAATAATAGTCATAAAGGTGCTCACTAAGGTCAAGAGAACATGAACAAAGTGAAAATTTCAACAAAGAAATAGAATATATTTTTAAAGTACTAAACAGAAATCACAGAGCTGAGGAATATAATAACTGAATTAAAATATTCAATAGAGGGAGGGGTTGGACCGCAGACTAGATCAGCTGGAAAGAAGGATCAGTGAACCCAAGAAGAAGGCAGTGGAATTCATCCAAACAAAGGAGCAGAAAGAAAAAATGACTTAAGAGAATTAAGACAGCTTAAAGACTTATGGAACACTGTGAAGCAGACCAATATACACATTATAGAGGTCCCAGAAGGGAAAATAGTGGGGGGTGGGGAGGATAGAGTAAAGGGGGTGGCATGGGGTAGAAAACTTATTCAAATAAATAATGGCTGAAAACTTCCCTAACATCGGGAAAGAGAAATCCAGATCCAGGAAACCCAGAAAGTTCCAAATAAGATGAATCTAAATAAAGCCACACACTGAGCCACATTATAATTAAATTGTCAAAAGTTAAAGAAAAGGACAGAATCTCAAAAGCAGCAAGAGAAAAACAACTCATTCTATACCAGGGAAACCCCAAAAGACTACTTGCAGATTCTTCAGCAGAAACCTTACAGGCCAGAAGGGAGTGGCATAATACACTGAAAGTGCTGAAAGACAAAAACTAGCAACTAAGAATACTCTATTCAGCAAAGTTGTGCTTCAGAATTGAGAGAGAGACAAAGAATTTTTCAGATAAGCAAAAGCTGAAGGAGTTCATCACCACTAGACTGGACTTACAAGAAATGTTAAGGGGACTTCCTCAGGTTGAAACAAAAGGATGCCAATTAGTAACAGGAAAACATATGAAAGTAATAAATCTCACTGACAAGGGTAAATATATAGTTAAATTGAGACTATTCTAATATTGTAATGGTGATGGGTAAATCACTTATAACTCTAGTATGAAGATTAGCAGACAAAAGTAGTAAAAAAAAAAAAACTATAACTAATAATTTGTTATTTGAAAAACAAGACTAGAAGATGTAAATTGTGAGATCAAAAACATAAAATATGTGAAAGTAAAAATGCAGTTTAGGTGACGCCTGGGTGGCTCAGTCGTTAAGCGTCTGCCTTCAACTCAGGTCATGATCCCAGGGTCCTGGGATTGAGCCCTGCATCAGGCTCCCTGCTCCATGGGAAGCCTGCTTCTCCCTCTCCCACTCCCCCTGCTTGTGTTCCTTCTCTCACTGTGTCTCTCTGTCAAATAAATAAATAAAATCTTTTAAAAAAAAATGCAGTTTAGTATGCATTTTAAGTTAAGTTGTTACCAGCTTAAAATAGATTATTATAAATATAAGATGTTTTGGGGCACCTGGGTAGCTCAGTCGTTAAGCATCTGCCTTCGGTTCAGGTCATGATCCCAAGGTCCTGGGATCGAGCCCCACATCGGGCTCCCTGCTCCGCAGGAAGCCTGCTTCTCCCTCTCCCACTCCCCCTGCTTGTATTCCTACTCTCGCTATCTCTTTCTCTGTCAAATAAATAAATAAAATCTTTAAAATATATATATACATATATATATAAGATGTTTCATGTAGGCCTCATGGTACCACAAAGCAAATTCCATAGTAGATATGCAAAAGAGAAAGAGAAAGGAAACTAAGTATTCCACTAAAGAAAATCATCAAATCACAAAGGAGAGCAAGAAAAGAAGAAACAAAGGAACTGCAAAGCCAGAAAACAATTAGAAAATATCAATAGTCATACTTATGAATAATCACTTTAAATATAAATGGATTAAAGCTACCTAGAAAGGACTTGCTTCAGCTTTAAGCACACACACACAGACTGAAGGTGAAAGAATGGAAAAAGATATTCTTTTTTTTTTTTTAAGATTTTATTTATTTATTTGAGACAGAGAGAATGAGATACAGAGAGCATGAGAGGGAGGAGGGTCAGAGGGAGAAGCAGACTCCCCGCTGAGCAGGGAGCCCGATGTGGGACTCGATCCCAGGACTCCAGAATCATGACCTGAGCCGAAGGCAGTCGCTTAACCAACTGAGCCACCCAGGCACCCAAGAATGGAAAAAGATATTCTATACAAGTGGACACCAAAGGAAAGCAGGGGTAGCTATACTTATATCAGACAAAATAGACTTTAAGACAAAGATTTTTACTAGAGAAAATAGGGTCATCATATAATGATAAAGGAATCAATCCCAAGAAGATATAACATCTGTCAACATTTATGTACCCAACCTAGGAGTACCTAAATATTTAAAGCAAATACTGACAGACCTGAAGGGAGAAATAGACAGCAACACCATAATAGTAGGGACTCCAATACCCCCACTTTCCCCAATGGATAGATCATATTCAATAATGAAAAGCTAAAAGAGCTTTCTCTAAAATCAGGAGCAAAGCAAGGATACCCACTCACACCACTTTTACTTAACATAGCACTAGAAGTCGTAGCCAGAGCAATCAGGCAAGAAAAAATAAAAGGCATCCAAATTGGAAAGGAAGAACTAAAACTCTACTGTTTGCAGATTACACGATATTATATATAGAAACCTCTAAAGAATCCACCATAAATCTATAAGAATAAATTAATTCAGCAAAGTTCCAGAATACAAAATCAATATATAAAATTAGTTACATTTCTATACACTATTAACAAACTATCAAAAGGAAAAATTAAGAAAACAATGCCATTTACAATTGCATTAAAAAAACTAGTAACACATTTAACCAAGGGTTACAAAAGAAATTAAAGACACAAATAAATGGGAAAAATGTTCTGTGCTCATGGATTGGAAGAATTGACATTGTTAAAATGTTCGTACTACCCAAAGTGATCTACAGATCCAGTGCAATCCCTATCAAAATTCCAATGACATTTTTCATAGAAATTTAAAAGAAATCCTAAAGTGTGTATGAAAACACAAAAGACCCTGAATAGCCAAAGCAATCTTGAGAAAGAACAAAGCTGAAGATATCACACTTTCCAACTGCAAAATATACTACAGAGTTATAATAATCAAAATAGTGTGGTATTGGGCGCCTGGGTGGCTCAGTTGGTTAAGCGACTGCCTTCAGCTCAGGTCATGATCCCGGGGTCCTGGGATTGAGTCCCACATCGGGCTCCCGGCTCAGCGGGGAGCCTGCTTCTCCCTCTGACCCTCTCCTCTCTCATGCTGTTTCTCTCTTGCTCGCTCTCTAATAAATAAATAAATAAAATCTTTAAAAAAAAAATAGTGTGGTATTTGCATAAAACAGGAACATAGATCAATGGGTCAGAATAGAGAGCCCAGAAATATACCCATGCATATAGGGTCAATTAATTTACAGCAACAGAGCCAATAATATACAATGGGGAAAAGGTGGTCTCTTCAATAAATGCTGTTGGGAAAACTGAACAGCTATATGCAAAAGAATGAAACCGGACCACTATCTTACACTATACACAAAAGCTAACTCAAAATGGATTAAAGAATTGAAGGTAAGACCTGAAACTATAAAACTCCTAGAAGAAAGTTTAAGGGTAAGCTCCTCGACTTTGGTCTTGGCAATGATTTTTTGGAGTTGACACCAAAAGCAAATGAAGCAAAAACAAAATCAAACAAGTGGAACTACCTCAAACTAAAAAGCTTCTGGACAGCAAAGGAAACCATCAACTAAAGGAAAACTTATGAAATGGGAGAAAATGTTTGCAAATCATAATATCTGATAAGGGGTTAATATCCAAAATATATAAAGAAATCCTACAACTCAAAAAAAAGCCAATTTAAAAATGGGCAGACAACCTAAATAGGCATCTTTCCAAAGAGGACATATGAATGACCAAAGGTTCAAGAAAAGGTGCTCAACATCATTAATCATCAAGGAAATGCAAATTAAAACCACAGGGAGATGTCACTTCATACCTGTTAGAATGGTTATCATCAAAAAGACAAGAAATAACAAGTGTTGGTGAAGATGCAGAGAAAGGAACCCCTTGTGCACTGTTGGTGGGAATGTAAATTGATACAGGTACTATGGAAACAGTATGGAAGTTCCTCCAAAAATTAAAACTAGAACTACCATATGATCCAGCAATCCCACTTCTGGGATATACCCAAAGTAAATGAAAACAGGGTATCAAAATAATATTTGCACTTCCATGTTATGGCAGCATTTTTCACACTTGCAAAGTTATGGAAACAACCTAAGTGTCCACCAATGGATGACTACATAATAAGATGTGATGTGTATATGCCATGAAATGTTATCTAGCCATAAAAAAGAACCATTTGCAACAACGTGGATGGATCTTGAGGGCACATGACAAGTGAAATAAGCCAGACACAGACACAAATACTGCTGGTATCACTTATATGTAGAATCTTAAAAAACAAACAAACGAAAGTAAAATCATAGAAACAGAGAGTAGAAAGTGGTTGCCAGGGGCTGGGGGCGGGGAAAACAGGGAGGGGTTGGTAAACGGGTACAAATTGTCAGTTATAAGATGAATAAGGTCTGAGGAGTTCATGTAAAGCATGGTGACTATAGTCGATAACACCATATTGTATAACCGAAATTTCCTAAGAAAGTAAAACTCAAATGTTCTCACAAGAAGAAAAAATAAATAAATATGTGAGGTGATGGCCATGTTAATTAACAAGATGAGGGAATCCTTTCCAATGCATATGTATATCAATCCACCAGCATGAACATTTTAAATATCTTACAATTTTATTTAATTATACCTCAATCAAGCAGAAATTTAAAAATAAAGACCTTTATTAAAGACCATCCATTTGTTCAGATTTTGACTATATACCAATTACTGTTGTAAGACTTCAGTGTGGTATTATTTTATCCTTACAACACCCTTACAAGAAAATCATTTGCATCACACCCCATTTAGGACTGGCAAATAGAGGATGCCCAGTTGTGATACTGTGATTTATATCACAGTTCTCAAAACCCTTGCAATTTCCTAAGTGTGGAGAGCGAGAAAGGTGTCTTTAGTTGTGTGAATGAGGTGACTTTTGTACTGCTCCTCAGGATGGGGGGCTGGTTGCAGTGGAGCCAACCATGTGATTGGAGGGTGAGAACTCTCAGTCCCACCCCCCTGACGTCTGGCAAGGGAAGAGGGGCTGAAGGTTGAATTCATGGCCAATGGCCAGTGATTTAATCAATTTTGTCTATGTCATAAAACCCCCATAAAACCCCAAAGGACTGGGTTTGGAGAACCTCCAGGTCCGTGAACACATGGAGATCCTGGGAGATAGCATGCCTGGAGAGGGCACTGGAAGCTCAGTGCCTTTTCCCCATGCCTTGCCCTATGTATCTCTTTCAGCTGGATGTTCATCTGTGTCCTATTTCATTTCCTTTTATGATCAACTGGATGGTAATCCAGAAAGTAAAATGTTTCTCTGAGTTCTGTGAGCTGCTCTAGCAAATTAGTCAAACCCAAGGAGGGGATGATGGGAACCTCTGATTTATAGCCATCAGAAGCACTTCCAACTGGTGTCTGAAGTGGAGGGTGCTTGAGACAGTCTTGTGGGACTGAGCCCCCAACCTGTGGAATCTGGTGCTATCTCTGGGTTGATAGTATCAGAATTGAGTCAAATTGTAGGATACCCAACTGGTGTCCAAAGAATTGCTTGAAGGTGAGGAGAGTACACCCAGGCCCCCATATACATGTTGGAACTGAGTCCAGGAACCCAAAGACCAGTTAAACTTGAATCCAATAAACAATGAATAATGTTTTAGTATAACTATGCCCCATGTAATACTAAAGACATACTTACTGCATGGGACACAAATATTTCATGGGATTAAAAAAAAAAAATGTTGTATATCTGAAATTCAAATTTAACTAGGCATCCTGTATTTTTATTTGGTAAAATTGGCAACCCGACCCTATTTTTATGGATAAGAAAACTGAGCCTTTCAGGAAGATAAGAAACTTGACCGAAGCTAACACCTGGTAAGCGGTGTCGCCGAGGAACTCCAGACTCACTGAACCCCATCTCTTCCGTATTATATTGCCCCTTATTTGTCCAGGGAGTTCTCTTCATCTGCCAGCTTCTTCCATCTTCTGGTAAAATAACCCCATCACCGTTCCCAGCTAACTAGAAGAAAAGCTTTCCTTCCCAGCCAAGAAGGATTCACTGAAAGGTGAATTCTCATGACTAATTTTCCCAAATCTATCTTCCTTGCTAGCTTACCTCTTTTGAAAAAGACAATGAATACCTCCCCTCACGTTTTTCATGCTGATACACTTCCGTAACTTTCTCGAGGCTACGTCTGTAAACTGAAATTTAAATACAACCATCCATCCCCCAACTTGTCCTTCTGGCTTACATTACCTGAAACATAATATAGTAATTTAAACCCAAACACAAAGAGGAAACAAACTGTAGTGTTATTCATCGTGAGGTGAGGCCATCCCGTTCTTAGCTTCCTTTTGTTGTTGTTGCTCCTAGTCATAGCTTCCAACATTTGAATGATAGTACATCCAGCCGGCTTGTCTCATTGTAACATTTGTTGTGCTGTGATGGGACTACAGTAGCAAGACAGTGTACCTCCACAAGGTCATTAACTCTGGCAGAAAAATTAGGCAACAAAGAATGTGTAAAAGAGTTTATCCATGCAAAATGCTTGAAGCAGTGCCAGGCAAATAGCATTCTCAGCAGATGTGAGCTAATGTTATCATTCATTTTAAAATGGGGGGGAGGGTGGGGAACAATAGTGATGGTCAGAAGAGGAAGCGGTCTTGTAACTAATAAGCCATAAACAATGCAGAAAGATAGAGAATAAATGGTGGTGCCCAGAGGGAAAGAAGTTAGGACTGGGAGAGAATGGAGGAAGTCCACTCTTTCATCTAGTAGCTATTACTAAGTGAGTGCTATGTACCAGCCTTGCGGGGCTGAGGGTTCCTGTGAGAGAAGCAGGTCTTTGTAGCACAGTGTGATCATTGTGCAATGAGAGAGTGGTGCCCAGAGACAAGGGGAACCTGAGACACACAACGTGGCCAAAAAGGGCCAAGGTGCCTTCCTAGTGTGATGCCTCCATTGCCCCTTACTGGGGTCATGAGAGCTGGCCAGGCTAAGCTTGGAAAGACTGTGCATTCCAGGTAGAAGAGGCAACACTAAGCAAAGGCACAGACTTAAAACAGCAAAATGTGTGCAGGGGAGGTGGAAATAATTCAGTTCTCCTCCCCGTTGGGACACCAGCCAATTACTGACCCATTTGTAGTGACTGGGACAGCAGACACTCAAATGTTCTCCCCTGCAGAAGGGAGCCCAAATGGAAGACTGCTCCCATCCTCAGCCAACCTAAGCAAGGTAGAGACTACAAGTTGAGAGATTTGGTGACATGAAGAAAAGAGTATGTCCCCATCATAAACTGACAGGTTTTTTCAGTGCCATATGCTAACCACCGAAAATGTTGTTACATGTAGCACCTTAATTAACTGCACTAATATTGCTTGTAACCAAAAGAGTTCTAACCAATACATGAGCCTTCCACATTAATTCTCATAACCACCCGAGCATAGATTTTATTATCCCCATCTTACATAAGAGGAAATTTATCCCTGATGGGATTAAATAGTTTTTCTCAAGCTTGCTAGTAACAGGAAGAGTAGGAATTAAAACTTTCAATATCACACATAATTTTATTTCCCCTTTCTTTCCACCTCTTTAACTAAAACACAGCCTTCAAGTCCCTGCTTAGATCTCACCTCCCCTGCAAAGCTTTCCCTGACCTCCCAGGACACAGCACAGCCTTTCATAGACCAACTACTCAGTAACAGTTTGATGATTGACAATGATAATCAATGATTCGATTATTTGGCAAGTATAGATCTGTGTGGGTAAAAAGCGATGACAGGGGCGCCTGGGGGGCTCAGTCGTTAAGCATCTGCCTTCGGCTCAGGTCATGATCCCAGGGTTCTGGGATCGAGCCCCACATCAGGCTCCCTGCTCCTCAGGAAGCCTGCTTCTCCCTCTCCCACTCCCCCTGCTTGTGTTCCCTCTCTCGCTGTGTGTCTCTCTCTATCAAATAAATAAATAAAATCTTTAAAAAAAAAAAAAAAGCGATGACAGTGGCCTGGACTCAGTAGAGAAGTCCTGTAGGACCAGTCGGCTTTGAGCCAGGTCTTGAAGACAGTGGTAGCTATGAACTGGCAAAAGCATGTGGTATAGGAAGGAGAGAAGAAACAATTTATACAAAGGCACAGAATGGAAGCAAAACAAAACTACACCCACCTTCCATGTCTCTGGCTTTAATATTATGTTTTACCAAATCCTTGATAATTAGAGAGAAATGGACAATTCCAGTTGAAGTATCTCTGCACCTGCTCCTTTAAGCCATACATATTTTTTGAGTGCCTCCGATGGGCAAGGCTCTGTGGGAGGCACAAAAATGAGTTAGACACAGACCTGCCCTCATAGACATGTCCACTAAGAGAATGACCCATATATAAATATCCATAATAAAATGTACAAAGTGGAAACAGCCATAAACAAGGTATGGGCTGCTATGGGAGGGGTCTTTAGAAGAACCCATTACTTCCAGGTGGGAATCTTGTGATGGTTTGCTAGAGGCAATGTGTTGCTGCTAGGCGTGCAAGGAGGATAGTCTTGGCAAAGATGAAGATGGGACTCTGGGCACCAGCATCCTGAAGCTCCGTGTGTGATTAAAGTTTTCTGCCCTGGGGTGACCACCTGGCAGGGAGGAGCTGGTGAAGATACTGTTCTTGATTAGGAAAACCTATATTCCTACCTTGTATCCATGTCTAGTTTTTGTCTCCTAAGTTGACCTTTGTTGTTTTCCACACTTTTGTGGAAAATAATTTCCCAGTAGGCACTGGCTGTCTTTAAACAGCTATCTAAGCCATGTACATAAAATACATCATATGTGCACTTACAAATGTATATATATTGTGTATCCTTAAAATAAAATCATTCTGAATGATTAAAAAAAAAAAAAAGGCCATTCTAGGAGGCAGAGGAAACCACATACAAAAAAATGCAAAGGTGGGAAAACTCAAAGTCCACCAAAGAGGACTGAGGGGTTTGGTTTTACTGCAACATTGGAGAAAAGAGTGGGAAATTAAGTTGCAAATGCAATGGAAGCCAGATCATAGGGTGGAAAGAACATGGAATTTTGGAGTCCTAAGATAAAATTCCAAATCTGTCATTTACAGCCTATGTGAACTCAGGCAAGTTACTTAAATCTTCTGAAGCTCATTTGCCTCATCTATAAAATGGGACCAGATAGGTGAGGCCCCAAGTATGCAATAATGTAGTGTTCCTTCTATAAGAGATTCTTTAAATATTGTTTCAACTTCTATTTATTTTTTTTTATTTAAGGAAAGGCCAAGCACTGATTTAGATAGAGACCCTCTGCCTTTCCTCTACTGTCCCAAGCAACTTCAGTGTTCCATCCAGCCAAACAGTTAACTTTGTAGTTAATCTGAGTCTTCTCCTTTCTTTCAACTAGGTACCAGCCCTCCAACAGGAATTCCTGGTGAATTTGATTTATAATGATGTCTTTGCACCCCTTACCGGTTGTGATTTTGAACTTCCCCTCTGGTCTGTCCCTTGGCTCAACTCTGCTCATGGAAAGGTTATAAGGATTAAAGAGATTACATATAGAGAGTGCTGCATAAGAATAGCTATTATTATCACTGATGGACAAACTGGGAGGAGAAGAAACTGGAGCCGCGGAGACTGGTTAGGGGGTAATTTAGGAAGACTATTTCATAATCGAAGAAAAGAATCTGAGAGTCTGAAATAAGAGAATGGTAGTGAGGGCAGGGAAGAAAGGATAAATTTTAAAACTCTCATGGAAATGAAATACCTCGGACTTAGCAAACAACTGATGTGTAAGATGAGGTAAAGGAAGAGGTTGAATTCTGGGCTCTAGAAGGACATAGATAGCATCATTAATACAACTAGAGGGAAAAGGAGATACTTTGGAAGGGAAATCGGTGACTCTGGGATACATTCAGTCTGAGGGGTCAGTACTACAACCAGACAGAAAAGTGCACGGGTCAGGGACAGGTTCTCTCCTTGACAAAACTCTGCTCAGCCTCCCCTGAACTCTCTTCTCAAACAGACCCTTTCTTTTGAGCTTCTGTGTTCATCTCTGCATTGTTCCACTTTAGCAAGAATCCTGCTAAGTCAGTTTAGCCAGAATCCCACACCCCCCTCATCCCTGATGTTTCCTCTTAGTAATTTTCCATCCACCAACCTCCATTCTGTTCCTTAGCTATAAATCTCCACTCGTCCTTGTTGTGGTCAGCCTTTCTCCTACTGAAATCGTTTTTCTAAATAAAATCTTTTTTTACCACTCTGTGTCCAACTCTGGTTTTTCCTCTAGCAGTTAGCAATTCAGTCCTGTTGAAGGGGGTGGTGAACGGTAAATACACACACAGCCTTTCGTGTGTCTGTGAAGATTCTATGAACCAGCAAAAAGGAAGCCAAGCCTGGGGGCTATGACCAAATCATGACTGCTTCTTCTTTCTACACCCTTTTGTTCTCTTCTCTGTTAGGAGCACTCTTTAAATCTATTGATGTATTTTCCACTCCTTTGGATTCTCAGTCATATGGATATGAAAGGCAGAATAATGGCTCCCAAAAGATGTCCAGTCCTAATCCTCAGAACTGTGACTATATTACCTTACATGACAAAGGGGACTTTGTATTTTTAAATGGAGGGGGCTTGTTCTGGATTATTCCAGTGGGTTATTATCCCAAGGATTTTTATAAAGGGAACCCAAGAGAGTCATAGACAGAGCGAGAGAGGGCTGATACTGCTACCTTGCTGGCTTTGAAGATGGAGGAAGTGGCCTGAGCCAAGGCATGATGGCAGCTTCTAACAGCTAGAAGACGCAAGGAAACAGATTCTGTCCTAGAGCCTCCAGAAGGAATCCAGCCTTGCCGACACCTTGATTTTAGCCAAATGAAACCCAATTCAGACTTCTGGTCCTCAGAACTATAAGACAGTAAATTTGCATTGTTTAAACTACCACGTTTGTGGTAATTTGTCATCACAGCAATAGGAAACTCATACGACAGGTGTAGTGAATGGCCAAGGCCTTATGGTCAACCAATTGACACTTGAACATTTAAATGTTGTGGACTGATAACCTCTAAGACCTGATGGTTCTTCATAGCTGTGGTTCTCTACAAGGGTGGCTTTGCCTCACCCTCCCTAGGGGACATTTGGAACATCTAGATATCTTCTAGTGTCACAACTGGGGGATGGGTACTACTGGCATCTAATGAGTAGAGGCCGGGATGCTGCTCAACATCCTATGTTGAGCACTAGAGAGCCCCCACAACAAAGAATTATCCAGCCCAAAATTTCAATAGTGCCAAGGTTGAGAAACACTGCAACCAAGTTCAGAAACCAATGAAATGATAAAGAACGCCATTTTTAAAGAGAGAAATTATTTCACTACTTACAAAGTCATGTTGACAGAAAATGAATCTGATCAACCCTCTAGATCCAACTACTAATTTACAGGGAACAGAGGATGGAGGACCCTATAAAATAGCACCACTTATCAGCAAAATCTGTAGGATGAATTTCTCAGTTTTTCAACACATTACAAGCATAATAAAAGACAGAGGGATACGGATGGGGGAAATCTATGAAATAAAAAAGATTTAAGAGATTTACCAAGGGGGCACCTGGCTGGGTCAGTCGGTGGAGTGTGCAACTCTTGATCTCAGGGTTGTGAGTTCGAGCCCCACGTTGGGTGTAGAAATTACTTAAAAAATAAAATCTTTTTTAAAAAGAGAGAGAGAGGTACCAGGTACAATAGGTAGAGATCATTTGGATCCTAATTCAAACAGATAAACTGTAAGATATGCACATATACACTTACGAGACAATTAGAAACTTAAAACTGACTAGATGGTACACCATATTAAAGAATTACTGCTAATGTAGGTGAATTACTTGTGATTACTTTTTTTAAAGGAGTCTTTATCTATTAGAACTACATGTTAAAATGTTTACAGGTGAAATAATATATCAAATTTACTTCAAAATAAGGCAGATGAGGAGCTGTGTGTGAAACCAGATCAGGCCATGAGTTGGTAATTATTGAAGCAGAGCAGAGGGCACATGTTGGTTGTATTCTCTCTACTTTTCTGCACGTTTAAATTTTTCCATTCTAAAACCTTTTTTCATTCTAAAACATTTTTAAAGAAAATTATGAAAATGTCTGTTTCTATGAAAAATTTCTATTTTTCAGCAACAGAGAGAATGGTCTTCTCCCCTTTCCTGCATTTCCTCATCTCTCCAGATGATCTGCTCACATTTGTCATGCTTAGACTCGTAGCTCTCAACCAAAACAGAAAAGAAAAAATATCCAGAATTCTCTTACCATTCGTTAGGTCCTAAATAAATAGAAAGCATTCCGGTTTAAAGTGTGTGGCATTCACTTGCAAAGAGAGAGAGGCTAACTCTCTGTGGCTCTTGGAAACATGAGCCCAAGGAGGAATTGATCCTCAAAAGGCTGGAGCCAGCCCTGAACACAGGCTAAGCATCACCTCCAGTGTCTGCTGGGAAAAAGCCCGCGGGGCTGGGTCACCTGTGAATCCCCAGCACTGGCAGGTGCCTGGCACATAGTCGGTACCCTACAAATGTGTCCTGAGGGAAGGAGGCAGGAAGTCAATTCAACGGGTTGAGTTCTTAAGTGAGCATAAATGCAATATCTTAAGGAGCTTTAGCAGCATCTTCTACCCTCCTCCAACCACCACGACCATCATGCGACCTCACGACAGATGTCGGGACTGTCTTAACAAAAACTTTCAGGGAAATGCTGGGCTCAAGCTGTCAGCCTCTGCTTTGTCAAATAAATCCTGCACTGAAGTAGCCCCTGCTCAGGAAGCCCACTCTAGTGCTGCACGCTATGTTCACCTTTACCACAGTCCTCAAGGTAGAGTGAGGCGAGCCCGGCCCCCAGCGGCGGAGTCAACCCCCAGCAGGCTCCACCCCTCGTGCTCCCGCCTGGAGTTGACAGCACCGCATCATCAGATGCTTAGAAAACCGCTGAGAGGGGAGGTCTTACGCTGTGTTCTTATCACAAAAATAATAAATACAGACGGACAGGCAGAAAGGAGAGATGGAGGGAGGGAAGGAAGAAAACAGGAAACTTTAGGAGGAGATGGATATGTTTATGGCATATATGATGGTGATGGCTTCACAGGTGTGTACTTATCCCCAAACTCATTAAGTTGTATTCAATTATGTACAGGTTTTCTTTAAGACTTATGTATTTATTCATGAGAGACAGAGAGCGCACTGGTGAGCAGGAGGAAGGGGCAGAGGGAAAGACTCCCAAGCAGACACCCCAATGAGTGCAGAGTCCCTTGCGGGGCTCCATCCAGCGACTCTGAGATCATGACCTCAGCCGAAATCAAGAGTTGGACACTTAACTGACTGAGCCACCCAGGCGCCCCAAAATGGTAGTATATTCTTTTTTTTTTTTTTTAATTTTTTTTTTTAATTCTCATGTTAATCCCCATTTTGGTAGTATATTCTGATGACAAGACTGGGGAGGTGTTCACTGCAGGCACTAATTTCATATTCTGCACGTACAAATAATTGTATTATATGACATATGCAATCCCAACATTTATGTAATTTGTGTTACTTAGGTCAGATGTAAATCTGAGGCTATGCACCTAATCCCAGACAAATCTCTTCCCCCAGTGCCCAAAGATCCCACAAACCCCTACCTTTCTCAGGCTCTTGGAGCTCAGCTGGGGTTAGGGACACTGGTAGCCAGGCCTAGGCTGATGTCTTTTGTAAAATGAAGAATCAGCATATAATGTGAATAACCAGCCTCCAGAGGGATAGTTTGGATTTTGAATTTTCTTCTTTCATCTTAGTTAGATTTCTTAAAATGTGGTTCAGCCAACAATTGCTAGATCATTATTTTTTCAGTTCTCCCCATTGCCATCCTCCAAAGGGCTAAAGAGGATGTTATTTATATTATTAAATTAATATTTATTATTTACAAACATTTTAAAGTGATCAAATAACTGTGGTTGTTTCCAATATCCTTGCAGAATGTTCTCACATTTTTAATATCATTCAACACTAAGTTTTTTTTTTAAGAAAATATGTTGATTTCCTTAAACAATAACCTTCAAATTGGGTTTGAAATTGAGAAATAGAGGCCCCTGGCTGACTCATTTGGAGGATCACGCAACTCTTGATTTGAGGGTCGTGAGTTTGAGCCCCATGTTGGGCGTAGAGATTACTTAAATAAATAAAACCTTTAAAAAAAAAAAAAAAGAAAAATTCAGGGCCTTTCAGGTTGAGGTTCTTAAAACGTTTTTATGCTCCCTCTTAAGTAAGATGATGGGCAGTAGAGGGCGCTCTCAGCACGCTGGGGCAGGAATTGTTGGCTGTGCAGCAGAAAAGGAGCCTTGTCCTGACCCCTGGGCTTTGGGCTCTGCCCAGCCCTCCGGTCAGAAACACTGCCTGGGTGGCTCAGTCGTAGGGCGTCTGCCTTCGGCTCAGGTCATGATCCCAGGGTCCTGGGATCCAGCCCCACATCGGGCTCTCTGCTCCACGGGAAGCCTGCTTCTCCCTCTCCCACTCCCCCTGCTTGTCTTCCCCCTCTCGCTGTGTCTCTCTCTGTCAAATAATAAGATCTTTTTTTAAAAAGCACTGCCTTTTTGTGCCTCTTTAGGCCCTCAGCTACAATGTGCCAATTCATCTGCCTTTAGCGAGCTAACCTCAGCGGAGCTTTCTTCCCCGGGGGGAATGTTGGTTGGCTGCTAAAAAGATCCTTTTTGCCAATACTACCACTTTCTGAATAAAGTATTTCACAGTTGACAGATCACTTTCCCATGCCTTACTGGGCCTGCTGTCCTCCACTGACAATATTCCATGGTCTCAGGATGCATGGGATAAAAAGTGTATTCAGGGGCACCTGGCTGGGTCAGTCGGAGGAGCGAGCAACTCCTGATCTCAGGGTCATGAGTTCGAGTCTCATGATGGGTGTAGAGATTACATAAATAAACAAACAAACATACTTAAAATAAAATAAAAGAGTATTCAGGACCATAACCTAATTTGGGTGAAGTTTGGACTTGAGTTTAGATCCCAGCCAAGCACTTGCAGGTGACCTGAGAACATTACCTAATCTGTGAGCACCTCTGACCCTCACAGTAGATTGGGCTTTATGGGAAAGAAGTAAAGTGGTGTATAACAAACATCCACCATAGGATAGGTACTCAAAGTATGATAGCTTCCTTGCTCTCCCCTTGTATACAGGGGCCTTGCGGTGAGGACATTCAACACCAAGAGCTAGAAAAGCAGGGAAACTTCCTGTGGCAGGCAAATCTGGAAAGGAAAGATAAAGGGAAAGGAATCTCTCTCCCCAGCCTCCTGCAGCCTGTGATCCAAGTCACGGAGATACACGAAAGGGAACTGGAAAGAGCCCAGGTTCCCCTCTATGATGGCTACTCTGATGGCCTTCCTGGAGGAAAGGGAGTGTTAAGGCAGTCCTCAGGGTATGTGCTTATTTTCTCAGCGGACTTGTACTCCTCCAACTTCACTTGTCTCATGAACACAGGGCTGGTGTTAAAGCTCAGCACGGAGCCCTCTGGTCAGAATGTGTATTTAATCAAGCAGCGAAGAGAAATAAGCCAGGCATGGCAATGCCCTGAGGAGGTCTGCAGGAAGTGGGGGAAGGAAGCCATGAGGATTGATAGCTGATACCTAACCACTCATGGCCAACGGGGTGAAGGAAGAAGAGGCTCTCTCCAATGGGTACTTGGTGCATACAAGCGTGAAGCAAGACACATCACTTTTTAGGAATCTGCTATAAAGAGGTGGTCAGGGTCAGGAGGTCTTCCCCAGTGAAGTACCTGGTCCAAAGCCAGAAGCCAACTCTCTCAGACAATCCACTGAGCCCAAGGCAGCTAGATCTTTATTAGAAAATGCAGTCAAAACCAGAGTGTTATAAACTGACTGCAAAATTCATATATTGAAGCCCTAACCCCCAACGTGACTATATTTGGAAATGGGAGGTCATAAGGGTTGGGCCCTAATCCAATAGGTGTCCTGTAAGAAGAAGAGACACCAGAGAGCTCTCTCTGCACACAGAGGAAAGGCCATGTGAGGACCCGGTGGGAAGGGAGCTATCTGCAAGCCAGGAAGACAGGCTCACCAGAAACCAACTCTGCTGACACCTTGATCTCCGATTTCCAGGCTCCAGAACTCTGAGACAATAAATTTGTGTTGAGTTTATGGTATTCTGTTATGGCAGCCCTAGAAAAGTAATATGTAAAAAATTTTAATGACTTTACCTTCCCTTATATTTTCTTGTCTTGTGTCTAATTAAGATACGTTACTTGTGCCTGATAACTATTATTATGATGGTCTAGTTGCTTTCTGGTCCCTGGTGAACCTCATATAATTTACAGTGTGGCATTTTCTCTTCTTTTTATACAAAATATCACTTAGGGCACCTGGCAAAAAAAAAAAAAAAAATCGGTGAGTAAAGCAACAATTGATGTGCTGCAACATAATGGAGATTTTGACTCAGCCAGTTTGACCACACACCTTTCACCAAGTGCTGAACCAGTGAAAGATGCTAGTGAGGCCCAGCGTGGGAGTGGGAATGAAAGACAGATTACAGCAGAGACTGGGTGAGGGGTCATGGCTGTGCTGGAGAGGAGTGACAGGGGTGTTCCCACTATTTGGTTGTTTTCTAAAAGTTGTAATTTAATGTCTGGGCAGTTTTAGAATCATGAAATGGGGTGGATATTAAAACCTGCAGGCATTCAGGGTGCCTGGGTGGCTCAGTCGTTAAGCGCCTGTCTTCGGCTCAGGTCATGATCCCAGGGTCCTGGGATCGAGCCCCGCATCGGGCTCCCTGCTCTGCAGGAAGCCTGCTTCTCCTTCTCCCTCTCCCCCTGCTGTGTTCCCTCTCTAGCTGTGTCTTTCTCTGTCAAATAAATAAATAAAATCTTTTAAAAAAAAAATGTGCAGGCATTCAATGTCATAGGGTCTAAATGGGGGAAGCCAGCAAAGACCCTCCTCTGCAGAGGCTGGCACTCACAAGGCCATCTTGGTAATTGATACACAGCTTCTGAAAGGAATGGTGAATAAAAGCATGGCTCCCATAGGTTTTTATTTCAGGAGAGCTAATCTGGCAGACGAAAGAAGGAAATCCAGGGAAATTCTCAGTGTCTGGTAACAAGTGTGTCGTTGGCTGGGAGAGCAACCCATTGCTCCCATGGGAGATTGTGAAACACTAAATAAATAGAACCCTAGGACCCTAGTCACATGGCCTAGGGCTCACTCCTGGTAGAAAACTGGAATGTTGGGCATGAATCATACTGAGTTTCTACCTATAGATGGACCACCAAAACAGGACAGGAGGGGGTCATCAAAGGGAAGGTTGTGAGGATTGCTGAGCCTCTAAGCTTCCTGGGTACTCATGATCATCTCTGGCACTCTGACACCACATGATAGGAAGCAAGGCTGAATCTTTCGGGTAATAGCATCCAATGCCCCTATATTGATGGATCTGGAAGGTGATGGAAAACGGACCTGAGCCTACCAGACATATCATTTGTAGATATAACCCAGGGAGCTGGAAATGGCCAAGGCCGAGGAAATAAGAAAGTTCTGGAACTCACTAAATAACTGAGATATTTATTAATATATGCTACAGACTGATCTCTGTACATCCTCCCAAAATTCACATGTTGAGGCCTTAACCCCCCAGTGTGGCTGCATTTAGAGTAAATAAGTAACTGAGGTTAAATGAGGTCATAAGGGTGGGGGCTTTAGCCTATAGAATTCATGTCCATATTAGAGGAAACACCAGAGAGCTCTCTCTTTCTCTCTCTCCCCACCATGTGAGGACACAGTAAGAAGGCAGCCCTCTCCACACCCGGAGGAGAGCTCTCACCAGGAAACAAACCCACTGGCACTCGATCTTGGGATTCCCAGCCTCCAGAGCTGTGAGAAGATAAACTTCTATTGTCTAAGACACCCAGTTTATGGTATTGTGTTATGGCAACTTGAGCAGACGAATGCAGTGTACAGGAAACCTAATAATTTCTCACGGATGGCTACAGTCAACAAAAGTTAATCCACCTCTGAAGAAAAAAATATATTTTTTAAGATTTTATTTATTTATCTGAAAGAGAGAATCACAGCGAGAGAGGGAAGACAAGCAGGGGGAGTGGGAGAGGGAGAAGCAGGCTTCCCGCTGAGCAGGGAGTCCAATGGACCCTGGGATCATGACCTGAGTCGAAGGCAGACACTTAACGACTGAGCCACCCAGGCGCCCCTGAGGAAAAATTTAAGAGGCTATTAGTGGCTGGTGAAAGGAAAATTGCCGTCAATTATTTGTTGCATCCAACCTTAAATCCGTGAAGCAAAAGTTTTACCCATGAAGGATATTATTTATTGCCTTTTTCCTCATTTTGAAAGTAGTTTATTGTTTAAAAAAGAAAATCTTGTACACGTCACTAGCTATTTCTCAGGAAACATTCTCAGAAGCAGAACTACTAAATTGAAGATTATGCAGATTTTAAGGCTCTTTGATAAGTATTTCCCAAGTACTCATCAACACGTTTTAACCAATTTACACTCCACAACGGAGTGGATGAGAATGTCTGTTCCAAATACTCATGCCACCCTTGAATTTTGTTTTGAATTGTGTATTTAGTGTCTCCCAGAAGCAGACCGACCCTGAGACAAAGTTTCAAGGGCCGGAAGTTTGAGTGACTAGAGTGTGAGGAGAGAAATGGGTAAGTGGTCCTCAGAAGGAGAGGCAGCTGATAAGGAGTGTGTTACTAAGCCCGCTCCCGCGGTGGACAACTGCAGCTTAATCTTGTAGACAAACCCCGGGAACTAGTGTGAAATCCCTCAGAACTGCCCCACCTGGATGGGACAGGGTGATTATTACCTCCAAGAGCAGTTAAGTAAGGCTGCTTGAAGGAAGAGGGCAGAGGACCTTTGGTAGTCAAAAAAAAAAAAAAAAAAAAAAAAGTTCTCAGGCACAGAGATGGGGATGATGGCAGTTAGAGGTCCATGGGGGTGTAGTCAAGTGTCAGGGGTTAACCTTTCCCAAAGAGAGTTCTGTCCCTTGTGTTTGGCTATGGGTAGGGGATCTCTAGGCCCCTGGAAAGTGCTGCCTGATAAGAGTGCCTTGTTTGCCTAGGGGCTTTAGCCACCAGACAGGCTGATGATGTGATTTATGATGGGGGTTTTGAGCCGTGCTGTACCAGTTCCAACCCCCGGAGGGACGGGACACTAAAGAAAGGCATTAGTCTGACCTCCCGGAGGGGATGGAGAAGGAGCCAGCCAGGTGTACTATATGTGATCGTGCCCCGGTAAAAACTCTGGATGCCAAAGGCTCTGGTGAACTCCCCTGGTTGGCAGTACTCCGTGTGTTTCACCCATCATGGCCGGGAGGCGATGTCACCCACGACTCTAGGGCGACAGGACAACCAGAAGCCCCATATGTGGAGCCCTCACAGACTCTGCTCCATACGCCTCTTCCTGCTGCTGATTTTAATCTGTTTCCTTTCACTGTAATAAAACTGTGATCACACTTTCCTGAGGTCGTTGTAGGGACTCATCGGGCCTGAGGGCAGTCACAACAAACTCTCTAGGCTTTTTCTTTTTCTTTTTTTTTCTTTTTTAAAGATTTTATTTATTTATTTGACAGAGAGAGGCACAGCGAGAGAGAGAACACAAGCAGGGGGAGTGGGAGAGGGAGAAGCAGGCTTCCCGCGGAGCAGGGAGCCCGATGCGGGGCTCAATCCCAGGACCCTGGGATCATGACCTGAGCCGAAGGCAGACGCTTAACGACTGAGCCATCCAGGCGCCCTCTCTAGGCTTTTTCTTTTTGAAGAATTTTGACATTGTATTGTCTTTTTGTCATAACTCGTTTGCCTAATAATTTAGCCGTGGTAGTTTTAAATTCTTGTGAAACCAGTCTATCAATCTTTCCCTTTATAGTTTTTATTTACTTAAAAAGGCCTTTCTCACTACAAATCATATAGGTATTCATCTTTTTTAGTTTTTTACAGCATCATTTCCCCTCATTTACCTAATTCTGTTGGGGATTTTTTTTATATGCTGCTAGGTAAAAATCTATGGCTACTTTTTTCCAAATAGTTTCTCAATTGACCCATCTTTGGATAATCATATTTTTCTATATTTTTAATCACATACTAAGTCCCCACATATTCTAGGGTTTGTATGTGGTCACTCTATTTTGTTCTATCTACATGGAGGTCTTTTCTTGCATCACCCTGTCTTTAGTTTCTGCGGCTTTGGAATACAGATTAAGATCACATTGCATGCATCTTTCCTACATATTGTTCCTATATAAGATCTTCTTGGCTTGCTCTCCTATTTATTCATCCATAATAAAATTTTCTGCACCCCAAGAAAATGCAATACCCAGAACATAAAAGAAAAATTTAAATCACTTTGTCAATTCCCATCAGCCTTCCAAAATAACATCTTACTACAGTTTTTCATTGGAATTGCATTAAACTTAAAAATTAATTTGGGGTGCCTGGGTGGCTCAGTCAGTTGAGTGTCTGCCTTTGGCTCAGGTCATGATCCCTGGGTCCTGGGATCGAGCTGCATCCTGCTCAGGGGGGAACCTGTTTCTCCCTCTCCCTCTGCCTGCCACTCCCTCTGCTTCTGTGCTCTCTGTCTGTGTCAAATAAAGAAATAAAATCTTTTAAAAAATTAATTTTAGGAAATTGATATGCTATTTGCAAAACGGAATCTTTCCATGCAGAAAGATGGTATGTGCCACAGTAAAAACAATACTTTTAAAAAATTTTTAATAGATGTTCTTCATACAGGTCCAGCAAATTTCTTGTTAACCTCAAGGAAATAAGAATTTTTACAGCTCTTAATGCACATGGTTATATTACCCCCAGAAAATTTTCACTTCTACCCGCATCATGTAAGACTGAAAATGCCCCCTTGCAAATCTGAGCAGGTGAAAAAGAATCTCACTGTGGATTTAATGTGTACTTCTTTGACTTTTCATGAGATTGAATGATTCCACATATATGTATTGGTCAGTTGTATTTCCTTTTTGTGAGCTGTTATCTTTTGCCTATTTTCTATATTAAGAATTGGGGTGTCTGGCTCACTCAGTTGGTGCAGCATGTGGCTCTTGATCTCAGGGTCGTGAGTTCAAGCCCCACGTTGGGCATACAGCTTACTTGAAGAAGAAGAAGAAGAGGAGGAGGAAGAAGGGAGAGGAGGGGGAGGGGAGGAGAAGAAGAAAAAGACGGCAACGACTTTGACTTAACAAGTAGAAGTATTTTTCCCAGTATGTCCTTTGCCTCTTAATTTTATTACATTTTCTGATATACAGATTTTAAAATGTTTCCATCTACGCAAATCTTTTTTTTTTTTTTTTTTTTTATCTATTTGACACAGAGAAAGCACAAGCAGGGGGAGAGGCAAAGTCATTTATACGTTCTTCTATGTCTTTTATAGCTCCTGTTTAAATTTTAATTCCCTAATCCACATTGGATTTATATCAGTTTATGGTGTACATGAAGTAAAGACTGGATTTTGTTTTGAGCTTTAAGGGTTGGTTGGTTTGAGTTGGTATGTTGAATGAACTATGGGCATCTTCTTGGAAGTTATACTGTGTCCAAGCTATTTGGTTTACTTAGTAATTTTTAAGTACAGAATTTCCTGGCACACACCCATTCAGTGGAGTAATAAAATGTTCTCACTATAAAAAAAAAAAAGTAGCAATTACAGCTGAAGCCTTCTTATTGTGTATGTAACAAGGTACATTTCAGATTAAGGAAGGTTGAGTATCAGTCAGCTGCCCCCTGCTGGGGCTTTCCTGAGTCCTCTGAAAGTCTGCAAAGAGTTAAACAGGTTATTTTACCAACAGCATCTATAAAAATGTGTTGCTACAATTCACTTGGAAGGCTTATTCCCCCAAGGGCACAAGGAATTAATTTAGCATTAATTTGGCATTCTTACAAGAAAGCTACTCTACCAAAGGGAAGCATGAACCTCTGAGAAATCAAATGTTTGTCAGACCTGATCCACGGTTTCCAGCACTGTACTATCTGCCCAGTGAAGGTAAGGAGCAGGAAGAACCTCTCCCAACATCAAATATGGTACAGTCGAAAGCACATCACACTGAACGTCTGAACCACACATGCTTCCTGCCTGCAGCACTGCCCAGGGAAGACATGTACATTAGCTTAAACCTAGGGCCGCCAACAAATTAAACACTGCATCTAGAGGGGGAAAAGAGGAATAACAATTACTGAGCACCTACCATGTGCTGAAAGATATGCTAGCAAAAGAGCGATGGGTATGGCAGTCCTGTCTTTTCTTGTCTTGACTTTCAGCTGTACCAGGCTCATGCAGTCCATAACGACCCAACATACATCTCTGGCCAAAGGGTATTCACACGTGTGACCTACATGTCCACCCTTGGGCAGTGTTAGGACTGGGGAAGGGAGAGAATGTTAGTTGCGTGGAGTTAATGGAATATCTGTAAATGATTAAAAAGTTCAGCTGGGTCAAAGACTTGTTTGTGCAATCTATTAGACGTCAGCTCTCTTTATATGAAACAATTCCCTCCCAGCTCTTTCTAGTCCCCCCAGGGGGGGAGGAGGGGGAGGAAGAGCCCTCAAGCATCTTATCTCCATCCTTTCCATCAGGAGGTTTTCTCCTTCTAGCGTGGAAGGCCATTTTCCAACTGGTTTTTATTTCTCACTGAAAAAGAAATCAGACATGTAGTTTCAAAAATTCAAACAGTACAAAAGATTATACGACAAAATGTAAACCTCCTTCCCACCTTGGGGTAGCCATTGTCCAGCTGTCCTTCCAGAAATTACCCCTATTTAGAGGGGCGGCAGTTGAGTTTTTAATGTCAGAGAGAGGCTTTTTTTGCACCCTGAAAGGAGCTCTGACAGTGTCCTGTCTTTCAACTGATAGTTTATCAAAGTTGTAAATTTTAGAAAGATCTTTAAGTTAAAACTAGTTTTATAAGTTTAAAAACCTTCCTTTAAAAGACTAGAGACCAATTAAAATTGTTATTTTATTTGTAAATTGAATAATGGTGGTATAAAAATATGAGTTATTTTTACTTGTACTTATTTTTTTCTTCCAATTTTACTGCAATAAAATTGACACACAACACTGTATAAGCTTAAGGCGTACAACACAACGACTTGTCACACATGTATTGCAAGATGATTACCACAATATGTTTAGTTAACATACGTTACCTCATATAGTTACCAAAAAATGAAAACAAAACTTTTTCCTCGTGATGAGAACTTTTATGACTTACTGTTTTAGCAACTTCCAAGTATCCAGCTGGCAGTGTTAACTAGATTCATCATGCTGCACACGACATCTCCAGGACTTACTTATCTTAAGACGGGAAGTTGGTGCTTTGAACCACCCTCCCCCCAACACCCCATCCCCCACCTCTGACAAGCACAAATTTGATCTCTTTCCATGACCTTGGTTTGTTTTTGTTTTTTTTTAGATTCCACATACAAGTGAGACTATACAGGATTTGTCTTTGTCTGTCTGACTGATTTCACTTTGCATAACGCCCTCCGGTCCATCCATGTTGATCAAACGACAGGATTTCCTTCTCCTTTTTGGGGACAGGACCACCCAAGCAGTGCCGGGGCTGCTGCTGCCTGGTTCTGACTCCAGAAAGCTGACTGTGAACCTATCTCCCCAAGGCCACACTTAGCGGCATCAGTTTGGTAGATTGAAAGAGGCCATGATGTATTTATACTTTGGAAACTTGCAAAGGCGGCAGATCAGGGTGTCCCTACCCTCCCACCCTCCTTCCCATGACTAACAAGAAGGCTTCTACGTCCGGGGATCGGAGGCAGGAGGGGCAGCGGCTTGATGGAAGGTGGTGACAGTGGAGGTGAAAGTAATTGGGTGGATTTGGAAAGGTATCTGCAGAGGGAATTAGCAGGATTTGCTGATGAAGTGGACATGGGATAGGGTGGTCAGAGAGGGGAAAGATAAGAATAGTTCCCAGGTTTTGATGGGTATGTAAGTGTGAGCATCAGAGGCAATATTTTTAGTTTGACTTTGAGACAGAGAAATGTCCTGGACTCCGACAATGAGGTGATTTTAAAACTACATACTCCAGTTTTCAGTCATACGTGACTTGGCCCCAGTCTACTCTCTGCACTCATCCTGGGCGGTGCTCTTTGTCTCTGCCCTAGACTCCAGCCTCACCCAACAACTTGCAGCTCTGCATTCAGAAAACGCCTTCTCTAATCCTGCTCCTTCAGCCCAGAATGTTCTTATCTCTGCCCGGCGGGCATGTTCTCCCTCAGGTCCCTGCCAACTGCTTGAAGTTTGTCTCCCTCTACCTTATCCTCCCTGTCTGTTTCCTCCCTGGCACTTATCACAATTTATAATCATATATGTCTTCTTCTTTGTGCTGTCTCCCTCCCTGGACTGTAAGCTTTTTTTTTTTTTATTCATCTTTGACTCCTCAGCCTCTAACAAATTGCTGAATAAAGAGACAAGCAAGAGAAGTAGTCTGTCCACAGCCTATAGACAACAGAGTCCAATGTTGTACCATCTCTACAGCGTAGACCTCTAAAGGCCCACAATAAAAATCCGCATTTAGGAAACCGGTTGAGACTTTGTAAGTAGCTTGTCCCCAGAGCAGGGTGTGACAGGCAAGGGCAGGCTCGGGCTTGGGGCCAGTCTCCCCAGCTGGGCTGTCTCACTCTCCCAAGCCTAGATCCAAGCTCAAAAACCAGGAAGTTCTCACAATAGAGATGACAGCTGAATAAAGGCCTAAAGGATGGGTTTATTCTACTTCTACAGCAGTTCCAGCTCACCAACGGAGATTTGCACTTTTTGTGAATTCTTACATTATCCCAGTGGGGTAGGCGGGGCAGAGACCACTCCTCTCTGTGGAGAGGTAAGGAAGCTGAAAGTCTTGCTCAAGTTCATGGGGCTAACAAGCGTAACAAGCATAAAACCATATCCAAAACCAGGCCATGGGCTTCCAAGTTCAGAGCACAATGCACTATTTCCATTTAGCAAGTACTTTTGTGTACCTACTATAAATGGGAGTACAAATAAATGGGAGTACAAGGGAAATATGAAACTAACAGAGTTAAAAACATGTGCCCATAAAACAGTTTGAGACCACGCCCACCATCAACACACCCTTCTCTTGCTGCTGTCCCCTGATTTCCATGAATGGCTCAGGGCATGTGAGAGTGACACCCAGAGACAGCATCCCCTCTCTGAGACACCCGGAGCTGGAGCCACCGGTGCCCCATCAGTACACACGGCAGGTGGTTGGTGACCAAAAGGAAGGCACTTGTGATGGGCAATGGCAGAGTCTTATTTTGAGATGTTGGGGCATTCTGGAGAAGAAAAGTGTTCTGTGTCCCTGAGTCAACAGGAATTGAATGTTGTAGGTGGAAAATGGCAGAGCAGAAGAAACAAGAGGATACAAGACTGATCGTGGAATAATCGGGGTGAGAAGAGTCTTGCCAGCTGTAACAGTGTCAGGTATCTGCGCGTACAGCACACTGTTGATTAGAAAAGAGACTCTCTGTTCTGAAACGTCCATCAGTGAAAGTCAAGGAGGGGAGCTGGGAGGGAACACAGTGAACTCAAGCCCACTCCTCTGCATCGACAAGGTCTACAGGACTTGTGTGCAGAACTCAAAGTCGCCTTCTGGAACAGCTTCTCCTGCCCGTCGGCCTGTCTCTGAGTTCCTTCTGGCAGCCTGTGTTGATGGTGGGCGTGGTCTCAAACTGTTTTATGGGTACAAGTTTTTAACTCTGTTAAGTCGGGGAATATGTGTCATATTTCCCTTGTACTCCCATTTATTTGTACTCCCATTTATAGCAGGTACACAAAAGTACTTGCTAAATGGAAATAGTGCAGAGTGCTCTGAACTTGGAAGCCCATGGCCTGGTTTTGATACGGTTTCACACTTCACCACAAAGTGAACACGCTCATGAGAAAAAACTCTCATTGTCAAAAATAAACAGTAAAATGGAAAATAAGAATCAAAGCTACTTCTCAGATTGTTGCGACCCCTGTAGGGTGCTGGTCAGAGCACGGGCAACTCCTCTCCTCCTCCTTTGGCCAAGTGGAACCATAGTCACTTGACTCCATCCCCCTCCCAGCGCGCTCCCCACTCGTCCCACAATGAACCTCTTCTCACACGTGTCCTCTACTCATTTCCTTTCCTTCCCACCCTTTTCCTCTTTTCCATCCCCACACTTCTCCCCTCTCTTTTCTTTTCCCATTCTCTGCTTCAGTCTCATGTTTTGCCCTCCCTTTCGCCTGCCACCCCTTGCCATTCGAAGACTATAAAATTAAGTCCAAAGATAAATTGTTACTACTTGTTTTGAGAATTCTTAGTTTTAATTTTTAAAGGGTGCTTTGAACATTTTTTTGTTTTTCACTCTAAGATAAAAATCTACTTTTCTATATGTGGGTGTCCTTGGATGTGTGTTTGTTTGTGCCCACGTGTGTCCACATGTACTAATCCTGGGAAGTAGTGGACCTAGAAAGAAAAACGGGTACCTGCTTTAGGACTGTATTACTTTGGACAAGCCCCATCAAATCTGCTTGAACTCAATCATCTCTTCTCAATGGACAGATACCAGGTCTTCCGCACAAAGCAGATCCAAGAAGACAGATCAAGATGCTGGGGTACCTAATTGCTCCAAAGTAGGGCTGGAGAGCGAATTTTGTGTAGCGGCCTAGCAAACTGAGGAATGACCAATGCCAAGCTACCGAAGCTGCCATCACCGAACACTGAGCTGGGAGTAGATGCAGTAAGCCCACTGTTCATAAGATGGTTGTAAATAGCCTCAAGAGATATGTAGTACTAAAATGTGGTAAAATAATCAGAAGGTGATGAGTTTTGATGAGTTTTTGAGTATTTTGACCTTTGTCTATAGTGTAACTTATTTAAGTGTAAGTATATATAATTTAATTTTTAAGAATGCCTCTATTTAGGGCGCCTGGGTGGCTCAGTTGGTTAAGCGACTGCCTTCGGCTCAGGTCATGATCCTGGAGTCCCGGGATCGAGTCCCGCATCGGGCTCCCTGCTCAGCAGGGGGTCTGCTTCTCCCTCTGACCCTCTTCCCTCTTGTGCTGTCTCTCATTCTCTCTCTCAAATAAATAAAATCTTTAAAAAAAAAAAAAAAGAATGCCTCTATTTAATGACCAGCTTGCTGAGTTGTTGAAAATTCAATATTCTGCTCTCATAAACTGGTACAAGCCAGCTCCCGCACAACCTTCAGGAGAGTCACCACTTCTCACCCACTTATACAAGAAAGCCTAACTGCTCAGACCAAATGGGATTTTTTTTTAATATTTTATTTATTTATTTGAGAAAGAGTTGAGAGGAGGGGCAGAGGGAGAGAGAGAAGCAGACTCCCCAATGAGATCAGAGGCTGAAGCAGGGCTTGATCCCAGGACCCTAGGATCGTGACTGGAGCTGAAGGCAGATGCTCAATCAGCTCAGCCACCCAGGTTGGGAATTTAAAAGTTGTAGTAATAACAGAATGGAAGGAGGCCTTTTTACAAATATGAAGTCAAACTAGCAACAAGTAAGTTCACACTGGCATTGGCGTTTGTGAATAAAGAGTTCACTTCTTCAAGCAGAAGAATATCTTCTCAGTGCCTGTGATGCACCAAACACAGTACCTACTCGACCACCAGCTCAGCCTTCCTGAGTCCTCACT